CCTGCAGCACAAAAGCAGTGTTAAGTCGCTGGGGTATATTTGTAGCAATAGCCAACAATACATTGTATGGGTCAAAATTATCGATTTTTCTTTTATGCCAAAAATCATTAGGATATTAAGTAAAGATCATGTTCCATAAATTTCCTACCATAAATATATCAAAACTTAATTTCTGATTAGTAATATGCATTGCTAAGAACTTCATTTGAACAACTTTAAAGAAGATTTTCTCAATATTTTGATTTTTTTTGCACCCTCAGATTCCAGATTTTCAAATAGTTGTATCTCGGCCAAATATTGTCCTATCCTAACAAACCATACATCAATGGACAGATTATTTATTCAGCTTTCAGATGATGCATAAATCTAAATTTTGAAAAATGGACCCTTATGACTGGTTTTGTGCTCCAGGGTCACATATACATACTGTATAATATGTATTATATAAAGAAATTATTATAAAAACTGCCTTATGTGCAGTTTAAATGTTTGCAAATATAATACCAGCTGACAGGGTTTATTGTATAGTTTGCAGCATTAGATTTTTTCCTTTAAATTGACATGAACTATACCTGACTGCTTATATATCCAAATGAATCGATATGGAATTGACTCATGATCGAAACGCACGCTTGTAAATCAAAAACAAAACGAATTGTGAAATTTGTCTCAATACCCAGCCCTAAATAGCATCATATCAGTGACGCTGTTTGATGTCATACTTGAACACGGAATTTCAAATGCAATATCCACAGTTTTTTTTCCCCCAGGTACACCTTGCATGTCTTGAGGGGAACGCTGGCGCCCTCCCCTCACCTCCGCGCGCGGCAGCTCGAGCGACTCCCTCCGTCCCATCGGGAGCAGCGGATCAGAGAGTGGCGTGGTCTCCGAGACACTTGTATCCCTCCTTCTCCCAGCGCATAAACCACACACACAGCACAGTCCGGCGCGCCACACTTCCTCGTGCACCGAGAACGACGATGCCGCAAAACTTGAATATTGCCAACAAACCGAAACCCATATTTTTGTTTTGTACACATGGGCGCCGGTTTGTGCAGTGCTTTCAGATCATTCCCCCGGCCATGGAATAATCTGAAAGCCTTGAAGCCTGTGCGTTTCAATTCCTAGACCCTTTTTGTTCTCATAAACCAGGTTTCCTGCTGCATCTGTGTGTCTGTTGTGAACTCGGGTTTACAGTCCACACTTGATCAGTGCATGCGTGTCATTTCTCCACGGCGTGCATGTAATGTGTTCGGTGGATGCAGCTGAGCCTTTTCCCTTCTGTGCAACCTAATTCCTGTTGTCATGTGGACCACATTTGTATGCACTTGCGCTTTGAGCTGCTCAAGTAATAATTGAGGTTTGCAGATGTTACATAATATCTCGGTTCATATATTCAGAGCTTGTTGTGCATGCTGACAGAAATGCAAGTGCCACAGTGAGATTAAGGAGGCTGGATCTTCTTCTCCTTATTATTAGTTCCTAATAAATGCATTGGCTCATAACGCTTGTTGATGTCTGTGTGTGTAATACGCTAAGGCGGATCACACAGTCCTGCGCCGGTTTTTGAATATTTAATTGCACGGCTGACGTCTGGCTGACGTTCTTCACTCATGATGACCTCACGCTCAGACGGATCATAGCTCGCCGATCACGACTCGTTTCCGCATCCTTCCAGCATGTGTGCAACACACACCACAGTCGAGGCTCAGTATGAAAAAGAGGGCCTTGTGTTGATTCTGCTTGCAGAACCCAAGGCGGTTTTATGTAACCATGTCAGCAGCTTTCTGACGGGACGCTTCTGCGATCTAGTGGTGCTCTGATAAACTGCAAACACAACTGTCCATTTAGGGAGAGAGAGAAGACACAAGATGGTTGAAGTCTGAATGTCAGAACAACAGATGCTTTATTAAACCCACATGACTGTGTTTTCAGGCAGACACTTACTGTAAGATTTCTTTAAGGGCAGATACTGCAGGTTGTAAACCGAGTTAAACTGTTCAATGAAACGATACATTAAAAATATTTCTAATATATGCACATTAATGTATTATTTAAAATGCACAGATTCATATATTAAGTGATATAGATCCCCAAATAAATGCCACTTTTTGTGTCAAAAACTTACTTAAAATAATATTTGATAATACATCTGTACGTAATATGTAAATGTATGTGTTTGTAATACAATTGTATGTATGCAAATGAAAATATTTTTTGAAAAAAAAGATGGCCAATAACAGGGCAAAGAAAAACATTACCATTAGATGCAATATATAAAAGCTTGGTTTTCTATGTCTATTATGAGATTTAAACACTTTAAAAAGTGGAAACCGGCAACTGTTACCATTTTTGTGGTATGTGCAATATGATTGATGTTTACAATATGAACAAACTTGATTTAGGAAAATGGCCTTTGAATGATGATATTTAATTCTGAAATAGGTGAATGTGATTTAAAAAAAAAACATTAAAATATTTTTAATAAAAATTGTATTTCAACTTTTGTTGGCTATAATTGTGTTTTTTTTTTTTTTATACAACAGTGAGACCAGTGATTCATATATTAAGTGATATAGATCCCCAAATAAATGCCACTTTTTGTGTCAAAAACTTACTTAAAATAATATTTGATAATACATCTGTACGTAATATGTAAATGTATGTGTTTGTAATACAATTGTATGTATGCAAATGAAAATATTTTTTGAAAAAAAAGATGGCCAATAACAGGGCAAAGAAAAACATTACCATTAGATGCAATATATAAAAGCTTGGTTTTCTATGTCTATTATGAGATTTAAACACTTTAAAAAGTGGAAACCGGCAACTGTTACCATTTTTGTGGTATGTGCAATATGATTGATGTTTACAATATGAACAAACTTGATTTAGGAAAATGGCCTTTGAATGATGATATTTAATTCTGAAATAGGTGAATGTGATTTTAAAAAAAAACATTAAAATATTTTTAATAAAAATTTTATTTCAACTTTTGTTGGCTATAATTGTGTTTTTTTTTTTTATACAACAGTGAGACCAGTGCAAATAAATTCAAGAGAAAAACAAATTACCACTTAAAACAACAGAATTACATTCAAAGAAAGAAAACAAGTTTGTTACAGCTTTAGTAATGAATGACTCCTAATATTGACCTCCCTTTGAAATGTAAATAGATACATACTAGCAAACATACAATAAACACTTTCCAGTGAAGCTGAGCTCGTCTGATGGTTGTTTTGTGAAATACAGTGAAAGACACATTAATTGCACTGGTTTGGTGTTTATAAGACTCAGTACAGCTACACTAAATCCTAGACACGTGAAAGCCCATGATAAAAGATACTTAGAGTATGATCATACTAATAAGAGGACAGTGTAAATGCATATTATGCTTTACATTTTTATGAAACTACAAATAAGCAACAGCACAGTGGGCCAGAATGTTCTGTTCTGTACACAATTGTCATGGAAACATTTGCAATGACAAGAACAAAAAATTGGTAGGAAAGGCCTGGTGAAATTAAGAATTTCACAAATGAATTTATAAAATATATAGTGTACAAATAAAAAAAGTTATGTGCAAAGTTATTTTCTTGCCAGAGAATGACTGGATTTAATGTAGTGAAATATACTTTATAAATGAAAAATTTTATACTATTTCTGTAAAAACTTATTTTTTGGGGATTTGTCACTTAAATTATATAAACTGAGAAAAGACGTTCTCTTTCACTACAACTAGTAGTTTAACGTATTCTGGTTTAGGGCCAGGCGATATGGCCAAAAATATTATTACAAATTTTTTCCACACCAAACGCTATTGACATTTATCGCGATATTCATTTACCATTAATGTTAAAGGAAATACTTTCCACATGTTTGTTAGACCTTGAAAAAGAATGTAAACAAAACTCTAAACTCCACAAAGCTACGTTTTAATTTAGGGCCCCATGAAATCTGTTTTATTTTCCCATAAATTCAGTTTTCCATTTTATTTTTTTCTGGATTCTGTGTTTTATGATTCAATACAAATGTATCATTAAAACTGGTGTCCAGTGAAATCAAATAATAATAGTTTGATCATGCTTTTAAAATGTAATCAAATGAAATTAATGTACAATTAATTAACAAGTAATGTTCAGTGCGTATTTGACGGCAGTTTTTTCAAATGAAACGGAGTAAAGCTGCTGAAGTGACTCGGAGGAACTCTGGAGATAAAATGCATGCGTTCATGTCCTGATATAGTGAGACGCAGATGCTGAAAACATCGCAAGCGTCACATGAGTTTTAGTTTGAATCAGACATAACCGCGCCAGACTTATAGCAGCATGCACTGGCTGCTGTCGCCTTTATTTCTGCTGTTAGATTAATCCATAATGAATAAAAATGTCACTTGATATTGTTTATTGCCCAGCCCTATTCTGGCATACAAAAGAAAGGTTAGGCCCTAAAATACAAGTCCCAGAGGGCCATTATGTGCCAATGAATTTCACATAAAGAACCGGTTTCACGTGTGCGCACTTGTGTGGAACTGTAAACACTTTGCATTCAAATCCAATCACAAATCATGTTTCTACAGCAGCTCTTCCACACTAATGATCCAGATGTGTCGTCAGATGTTCAGTTTCCCATGCTAAATTTTAATTACCCCATTCTGTCTAATGGCTGCCGTGCCTGCCTAACACAGACTGCTTGTCTAGTGTGGATATCTAAATATTTTCATGTATCGGCTGCGTTTTTACCACGTGGGCATCAAATCAGGAAACCAAATCCGGCCCAAATGTTTGGAGACCTCGCTGTGGATCTGCTCGATGTTGTAGGTGTTGTCGGGGATGAGCACCTCCTCCATGATGGACAGCTGGCTCAAGCGGCCGCCGCACATCTTCACGAACTCCATGAAGCCGCTGCAGGTGACCTCGCACTCGCCCAGGCCGATGGCCGTCAGGCTCTTGCAGCTCCAACCCGTTGGCGCACACCACCAGCTCCATGAGACATGGACAGTTCAGCCCGATGCGGCCCAGCATGTCTTTACTGACGGCCCGGCCGAAGTACAGGTGCGTGACGGGCGTCTGCTCGCGGAAGAAGGGCTCGAACTCCTCCTCGTAAAGGAAGAAGTACATGACGATGTTCACCTGGGGCGAGAGGCGGATGAGGGCGTCCCAGCTGCTCTTCTTGATGGCGTGGAACTGCGTTTGGCCCGGGTTCTCGCTCACCACGTCAATGCACAGGTGCTCCAGGTGGACGTGTTTCTCGGAGGAGAGCACCAGCAGAAGCTCGTCGCTCAGCAGGTGGCAGTTCAGAGCCAGTTCGCGTAGGGAGTGACACTGATCCGCCACACACAGGATTCCTGCATGAGCGAGAAGCAGCAGAACAAAGGTAGGTGATTACAATACACTTTCATTGTGGACACACTTGACAATAGGGGTGTGTGATATTGACAAAAAAAAATATGTGACTCAGGACCACAAAACCAGTCATAAGGGTCAATTTTTTGAAATTGAGATT